GGGTTAAGGTTTAGAGTTTTAGGGTTTAGGGTTTATAGGGTTTAGTTTTACCAATTCTCAGTATAGAAGCCCTACTTTATAATACCATAACCCTAAACCCCTAACCCTACTTTAGATACCATATAGATACTTAGAATCCCCTGAGATTATGCATTATGCACCGGGCGTACAAGCACGGCTCCGCTGAATCATGACCTGACTCTAGGGCTTTTAAAGGTTTATCACGTAGATTTGGTTTATTCATGTCTGCCTGCTTGTTCTTGAGAGTTCGGAAAGGCCATGCCGCCATGCCCCTGATTGGCTACTTGTCCCGCAGTACTTGGGGATGTCTCAGAGTGACCGTCAGAAAATCTACTATACCTGAAGATGGTCACACTCAACTCCTACTGTACACCTGAATCCCAGAACACTATCCGGACCCTCCGTAATTTTTTCAAGCCCGGATAGTCACCAAATTGTATGGTCTTAGACTCCTTGTATGAGTATGGCATACGGTACCCCAAGAGATCCTCAAATGATGTTGGTTTAGGCAGGGGCACTCTGCTTCGGAACTCCGAAGACGGGGTTCAGGGTTTGGGGGGGGGTCCTCACTGAAGGAGCACGCTGAGTGTACCTTCTTCGATCGCGACCATGACTCTTGGAAGCGGATGCGGTGAGTAAAAGCACACGGTGGGTTGTCGCCTACCCCCCTCTTTTTAGGCGTCCTTTGCAAAATATGACCCATAATCCTTAGGATACCCGGAAAAGAAGCCATTCACAACTCCATAAGATGCAGCCCGACGTTGGCCACAACATCCGTTTTGGCCTGCACCTTAAGTGGGTAGTGTGTTATATAAGGGTACAGAGTCCTCAATATAGAGTAGAATATCTTATCTTTTGGTCTACAATACTTCATAAGAAAAATATCACCTCACTTCAACCGAAAGAAAACACTTCTCAACAGGGTCGTTCTTGGAGATAGTTGTTAGTTATTATTGGCCCCATTGTTTTTGTTTCTTGTTGCTGCTGTTGCCGTATTCATTGATAATCTAAAGCCCGGATAAGGCATGAAATTAAGGAGCCAGTCCACGTGTTTTTGGTTGTGATAAGCAGATGTAGGATATCCTAATTGAGAAGGAGGCTGTGCCGAAAGCAGAGATCTCGTACGCGCCTAGAATATTCTATCTTTTGGGCTATACTAGTTCATAAGAAGAATACCACCTCATTTCAAATTTTAAAAACATTACTCAACTGGGTCATTCTTGGAGATAGCTGGTTGTGAAAGGCTCCATGCAAGTTGCGTAGGCGCTCCTGTTAAACAGGATGTAGGGTATCCCTATTGAGAACGAGGCTGTGCCGGAAACAGACATCTCTCATGCGCGCCTCTGTAGTAAAACTTAGTAAGTACTCTTGTGTCCCATCTTTCACAAACAAACCAAGCAGTTACGCGGACTTTGCAATAATGGAAAAGATAAGGGGAACTACTACAGAATTTAGGGTTTAGGGTCTAGGGCCCCTGTAAGCTTGACCTTATTTAGGTCCTGATGAACGAGGATTGCCCTGAGACAAGACTGCCTGACTACTGAAGGTTAGTAGAAAAAAGGACATAGATCACGTAGGGGTTATATAGGGAAGCCTATGAGGAGGTGGTCCAGGCAAACCTCCAGGACTCCAAGCGCGAGATACGTCCCATGCCGCGTCCACAGGCCGTTCAACCTCGACTCGTTGCACCAGCAATGTACCAGGTTGCAGCGATGCCTGCAGGATCTCATGACATTTGCGGCACAGTCTCAGCAATCCCCAAGGTTGAAGCCATGCAAGAACTGGATAACAGTCTGGCCCTCCTCCAGAAAGAGGTGCTGGAGTCTATCGCCCGAGACCTTGAGATTGAAAATGCATGGGCGATCACATTGTATTCACAGCGCGGAGCCGGTCCATGCTCTTGGAGTGTTTGGCCCTCCTCCAGAGAGAGGTCCTGGCGTCTACTGCCCGAGACCTTGAGGCTCTTCAACGCTGCTGGCAAACAAGTC